AAGCAGTGGTATCAACGCAGAGTACTGGGCGCGCCCCCCCCCCGCCCCCCCCCCCCCTCGGTACGCCACTGGTAGCATGTCAGAAAACGCTGAAAACCCTCCAAATACATCAAGTTCAAAGGTTTGGTTCCGCAGAGCCTTTGTCTGCAATGTTGGTTCAATCCTGCTACTGTCTTCCATTTTATCATCAGCATTTTCGACGTGTACTTTCGAAAAATCCTGGAGGAAAAGCGGTTTGTAGCATTACTAAGCAGCTCCCTAGACTGGCAACAGAATCTTTAAAATGAACTGAACATTGTTTCCGCTACCCCAGAATGGGTATCGAATTTTTTAAAAGCCAAACGAGTCATGAAAATGTGCAAGTGATTTGCTTATATTAGGTCATTCTGAAAGTAATTTCCCTTTTTCAAACGGGCGCCACATGTGATGGAACAACGATCATCCTTCTAATGGTCATGAAGCCGTTGCAGCACAGTCAATGAACTCTCGAAAAATCACCAAAATCTGCGACCATGCTTTTTGTGGTGGTCAAGTTTCACAATATTCTGAATTTTTAAATCAATCCTGCGAAGGAGTCCAAGTAACGCGTGGATAGAGCAAACCCTAAAGGGTACAAAACAATTTTTTCTCCTTCACAAAACTCTTCAAATTCTAATAAAATTTCAGCTGACGCTACCTATCTCCACACTTGGTCACCTCAAACCCCGTGACATCAAAGAGAGAGCAGCTCGGATGCTGTTTATTACAGCTTTTTCTCCTCTTTCTACCAGATATTTTTGTTTCCGATTCGTTCAGTCTTCGGGGATGAAAACATCATAACCCATGTTTTTGAACGCGCCCAAGGCTGTGCCCGAAAAACTCGAAATTTATTTCAAGATATTTCAAATCCGTGAACTCTCATTTGCTTTGTAAAATCAATATTAAGCCATATACCATCTTCAAAGTTTCAAATTGCGAATAATTACCGGTGTTTAATGCGACTGGGCTGACGTAAGCCTGCCAGGATCCGCTGGTTTTGGTTGAAAAAACCTTTAAAAGATTACAGCGAGCTATGAAAAAGAGAAAAAAAGTTGTACTTTATCCTATAACGTTTGCTCTATCCACGCGTTGCTTGGACTCCTTCGCAGGCTTGATATAAAAATTTAGATTGTGAAACTTGGCCATCACAAAAAGCATGGTCGCAGATCTTGGTGATTTTCGAGAGTTCATGACTGTGCTGCAACGGCTTCATGACCATTAGAACGAGGATGAAATGCTGCATCGAATGCCACCAGGATCCCTTAAAAATTTTTATTCCATCAAATGTGGCTCCCGTTTAAAAAAAGCGAAACTACTTTGAAATGACCCAATATTTGCGAATTATTGAAATTTTTGAAACCTTTTCGGAAATCCAAATTGACCCTTGAAATGGTGATGGCATGTGTTAAATTTTGTAGCATTCAATTTGCAATTTAGTGCGAAGTTTTTTTTTTTCGGAAGCGGTGGAAAGGGAATTTTTTTTGAGAGAAGGGGCATGCTAAAGCCACACACTCGTAAAAAACTCCTAAACTCCACCCAAAGTTGACCAAATTTCAGAAAAAAATTCAAAGAGCAAGTTCTTTTTATAAGGAAAACAAGTCGCTTTTCATTACTATAACTCATGCATTGTTGAAATTTTCGCATCCGTTCCAGTGGGCGATAAATCCGAAATACTCCTTGTTTCGTGCAAACACTCGATCAACGGCGTGCTTTCGTTTCTCTCATGTGTGTTGAAGAGCAAAGAATGCCCATCACGTGAACAGGTGCAATAATTGCGACTGCGGTTCTCTCGCAGTTGCAGTCAGACTGCTAGGTTTATCTGACCTTGATAGCCTCGAGAGACTATTGCGGACAGGTCTTGCTTGTCTTTCTGAATATCGTTGAGAATCAATTCCGTCAATGGTTGATATTGTTGTACATCGCAGTCACTCATCAGAAACGGTGCCAACGTCGACAACCTGCTCTTTTTATGTGCACCAACTGTGCAAATGCGCTAAAAAAGACTTCTCTGTTGCAATCTTCCCATTTTTTGATAGAGACTTTTACTCTAAAACTAGTTTCGATAATTAACCAAACCTTCATTCTCTCATTTCTTTGCGCTGCCGTTTCCATATTTTCCTCTCACAATTTTTCATCTTTGGCCGATCTCCTTTCATGTACCGGTAAGTAAAAGCAAATTCTCCCATCACACAGATTTTCTTGATTTTTGAGAGTGTCTGCGATTAGTTTTTTTCGGCATTCATGAAGGTCTTGTATCTATTTACCAACCTTGTTTTTCGGTGACCATTCAGGATTGGAGAATCGATCGCTCATGTTCATTCCACATTATCAGAGCTTGTCTTTGGTCAAAATTGTTTTTTTTTCTCACAGCTTATCGGTTTTGTAGACCTTTGAAGAAATTCTCGAAAGATAGAATGGCTCGACAATCATCTCCTTCAGTTGAAAAATTTGTAGGGTGCAAATGGACGCTGGCTATGCGAGCAAAATAGATTCTGAATATATGCCGAGTTCTTCTTCTTCTCACCAATTCCTGTAGTGCTTTTTGCAGAATACTGCCCGAATGAACGGTAGCAGCTATTATGTATCGAAATAATAGCTATTTGTAAGCTAGTTCGATTACTTTCTATCATTGAATGTTACCTGATACATCCATATTTCTGCGTAGGTAGGGTTTTAGAGTTCACGCGACAATTTTTGGAGACATGAAAACCTTTTCGTTTCCTCTCCAGTGTTTTTTGTAAGAACACTCCCAGCACAGTTGCATTGGGGGCGTTGTAATCAACGCACTCTGCTCGCTTTTGCTCTGTGTCTGTTAAGCGACAGGGAAGTTTTACTACATTTTGACCAAGTTTGATAGACTTTTATTTTGCCATATTTGTGATTTTAGCCATCGGAAAGGCACCATACTTCGTAAGTATGTTTTTTAGTATAAACTGAAACTAACTTGAAAACCTCAGAAAGCCTTTCACCTCTTCACTCCAATGATGTAAGGTTTAGCTAAGGTAGTCAATTTTGGATCCTATAATCTCGATATCATTCTTTGCTGGGTAGTATCATTCTGGCTCTCACATGTCCTGAATGAGTGTTGCTTGGGCTTTTTTTTTACCAGTATTGATTTCAAGTTTCTGTCTAAATTTAGTCTTTTCTTCTTTCTTCCTACTGACTATTACTTAGTTTTTCTGCTATTTTCTGTTAAGCGCACTTCTTGTGCATTTGATAAATGAATAAATAACTAACGCCAATTTTAGAGATCGGTTTTTCACAAATCTTTCAAATAAATATTGCGATCTCTTGTTTTTCCATCTTTCATCCATGAGCCTGAGCAATATAGGTTTTCAAAACGAGCAAAGGACCGTATCCTAGCGCACAAGAAAACCTAAATGTTCACATAATATTTTTCCGATTCCACAAATTACGTGCCACCCAGCGAACCATATAGATAACCCGCAAAATTTTTTGGTATGTTGGCAGGTTAGCTGCTTGCTGATTTGTGATGTTTGCACCAAATGCTGTAACTGTCGCTTTTTTGGGAATTGTTTTGAACGCGGGGCTTTCCTTATCACTTTGAGAAAGGGGCAGCTTGTGTCAAGCATCCTGGCGCATTTGAGATAAGGCTTCCCGGTGGGCATGCGAAATTTAGAGAGTGCAGTCGTAGCGCTTCGTAGTGTTTTCAGGACTAAAATGTAATCAGTTGTGTAGAAAGTCTGCATCGATAGAAGTATAAATTGATAAAGACTTCCGTACAAACTTACAAAATTCGCAAGGTTGTCTCTATTGGAACTCGCAAGAGAATCTCATTTGTCAACGATTGTAGATTTTGCGGAAGTTGGGCAGGGAAGGGTAAGAGGAAGAATGGGGAGAGAATGCCCTTGATTTTCATTAGAGTTACGCTTGGAGCTTATCCAAGCTGAGTGAAAACTGCATAAACGACTGTCCTGCTTGCTAATCGTCGCGAGAATGTTGAAACTTTAAGAACAAAACCACCCCTCAAAGGAAAAGACAGAACATCAATCATGCCTTTGCTCCCTTTACAAATCCATTGGTTCTAGTAATTCTGCTCTCTTTCTTGCAATATGTATCGGATCTGTCATCACAATATAAATTGAGAAAACATTTACCCAATTTGTATACCGCCTTTTGGCCTTAACATAGTTAGTTGTTAGCTGTGTAGTTCATTTCACAGAGTTATCTATAGTGGGGAAGTTCTTGGAAATTTCTTCATTCATATCAATTTATCTCAGTCTCCGTTGCATATTGCAAGCAAGAAAATTTGCGGTTATATTGTAGGGTTGCTCTCGTTTATTGGGTGTTATCACATTTCGCTGTGGAAAACTTCTAGTGTCTGGGAATATTTTTTCTCACCATAGTAACATTTTTAGAGGTTACGCACTTACACTACTTACCACTTTACGTTAGTGTAAAGACTATTTTCAGTATCCCTATGGGCTTCGTACGCTACGCAGCATTCCTGGGTGTTGCTGCGATCCTCATTAACTATGGTATGGATCTGCTTTACTCAAAGCATCCTCTTCATTTTGGTGGAAAGGTGGACAGCAAGTACGAGAGCGTACGGAAAGCCTTTGAGTGAGTCAGGCGTGGTTCTAGGTGGTTGCATGTTTATAGGTTATTAACAACTACAGTTTAGACAAAATTTTATCGATGGGCTAGAAACAGAAGGTGCTTCCTTTGCAGTATATGTGAAAGGGCAAAAAGTAGTTGACCTGTGGGGAGGCTACGCGGACATACAGGCAGCAAGAACCTGGAAGGAGGTACAGCCGAGAGTTCGTCTACTTCATCGATAGTGTAAATGCTACGTTTTAGGACACGATGAGTGTTGTATTCTCGACTACCAAAGCCGTAGCTGCGCTTTGCATCGCTGTGTTAGCCGATCGAGGAAGGCTCAGATACGAGGACCTCGTATCAAAGCATTGGCCGGGATTTGCCAAGAATGGGAAAGAAAACATTACAATTGAATGGGTGATGTCACATATGGTGGGCAAATACGGTGAAATCGAGCAGTCCTGACATTGTTTATTCCAGGCAGGTCTCTACTACTTCGAAGAGTCCATCACCAAAGAAATAGCTACAGACCACAATCTCATGAGAGAACTGATCGAGAACGAAGCACCCAAGTTCCCGCCAGGAACTGCCTTCGGTTATCACGCCATGAGTTACGGCTGGCTTGTCGATCAGATTATAAGGCATACCGATGAAAAGAAACGGGGGATTGGGCAATTTCTGCGGGAGGAAATTACTGGACCAAACGGTGAGCAACTTGCAAATCATATAAGGAGTTACAAGCGGCTTCTATGAAGCTTGTATTTAGTGAAAGTAGAAGGAGCAAACACAGTAACTTCTGACACAACAACAGATTCCACGAAAAATCGTCTAGAGAACCTTGAGCTCGAAATCCATTAGCTCTTGTTATGCATTCTGTGACAAACAGAATAATTACGAAAAAGTTATCGAAAATTCGTGAAGTGTTTTTCATAAAATGAATATTCCAAAAAAGCCTTGATGGTTTGATGGTTGGGTATGTAACATTATGCATTCCAAACAGCTGCTTGTTGAAAAAAAATTCATGAGTAATCATGGGCTTTCATCAGTGAAAGATTCAGATCAGTTGTATTTGTATGTATACGACTTTTTGTCAGTTTTGAACCTTAGAACTCCTGAGACATAATTTTTGAAGAATGATTCGCCTGATCGATTGATATTTAATTATTTCAGAAATGTTCAAAATGTAAAAAGTATAATTTGGCGTTATCTGTTGTGTGCTATTGGCCTTCTCATTCTTTTAGGTGAGAATTCATTAGTTGTTTAGGGTTACAAAAAATGCAAAAAAGAATATCGCTCAATCAAGCAATACAGTTCTCCCACCGCTAAGAATCTTTTCATAAGATGTCTTAGAAGTAGTTATTGTTGGGCAGCATTTTGAAATCTTTACATGAACGCCACAGCAGGGGTTCAGCGAAGCGTTTGAAATTATTAAACAAAAAATGTTTTACTTACATAAAATATGCTTACGAGTTTCAGGAATCGACTTTCACATTGGTCTCAATCTCTCAGAGGAATATCGCGTAGCTCGTGCAGCTACAATAAAGACCTCAGTGATAATTAAGGAGCTTTTCTGCAATTACCGTGCTGCCATGATGGTTTTAAACTACTACTTGTCAAGAACGGTAAAATCTGTACTTTGATCATAGATAATTGATCAAGCTAACTTGGTTCTATTTCAGGAATCTCCTCTGAATAAAGCTGTCAGCAATCCCTCTTGGATGAAGCTGTCATCGCAGTGTACGATGAATGACCCTGAACAACACGCAATGGAACAGGCAGCGGTGCTTGGAATAGGAAACGCACGAGCATTGGCGAAAATGTTCAACCTGGTCAGAATGAGTTTTGAATCGAACAAAAATCAAGATTATTTTGTACCACTAATCGATAAAGCGATAATCTAAAAAACAGTCCAATAATTCTCGAGTGTAAGGATGTGAGAGCAGGGCTTGCAGTCTTTGACTTATTTTTCTCTTGTTGATTTTTAGCAGGATTTCATAAACAAGTGCATTTGGGAGGATACTTATAGGCGTTTTTGGTATAGCAAGTGCAGGTACAATTTTCAAGTCCTAATCTCTACATATAAAGCAGAAAATTTGTATGTTTCTGCATATTGTGCAGGTTGTGCAGGGTGTGCAGGTTGTGCAGGGTGTGCAGGGCGTGCAGGTTGTGCATGGTGTGTAGGATGTGCAGGGTTGGGAGGGGGTAAATGAACATGCTGATCCGAATACATTAATGATAGGACCGGGCGGAGCCGAATTTGCCAGCTTGTTTAATATACAACGAACTCGATTTCTGTACACTTCAGTCTATATGACTGGCGAAAACATGTAGCTGAACTTTTCAACAGAATCTATCAGAAAGGTTTCAATTAAAATATCTAGTTTCAATGATATTTTGGTTTCTCAACGGAGCCAATCCAATATTTTAAGCACTCGTTGATGCGGGAACCTGAGGCGCTTAGCAAAGGTAGACATGCATTTCGAAACGCTTAAATACTTTCTCTTATGTAAGTCCTACTTTTGGAGCACCCACCTCAGTGAAAATGGCAACTTTTGAAGCGTAAGGGTCACTGAGGTTTTAGTCACTCGTACATAAAGCTGTGTGAACTATTTGAGTAAAATAAGAACTTTACAGTTTTGAAAATATGCAAGACGTGGTGTTACCAGCTGTGCAATTCCTCATGTTTTTTTTTCAGCTCGTCACTAAAAGGCTGGTCAGTGAGAAGACATTAGCATTGCTCAAGGAGCCTGTGGTGAATGGAACCGATTATGTGATTCAAATACAGATGGCTTTCGGACATGGCTTCCTCTATCATCCACCAATCACAAGCGGGGTGAGTTTGAGCATTTCTTTGAAAACATGCACTGATAAAGGGCAGCTGTTGAACACCTTTTCTGAGCCAGCAGAAAAATCAAGCTTTCACCATCGTTTGTCTTCCTGTTTGGGAAAATGTACAATTTTGTTATAACTCAGCAAATCGGTGCTGAAGCAGCTCCTTTGGTCCGTCCCAATCCCGAGTCTCGCACAGAATCGCACATCTATCTAGCGCCTCATGCTCTAATTCTTGACCACTCAAAGGACCGCCTAGCCTAAGTCAGGGGTCCTGAGCCTTTGACAACATACGATAGTAGGGCTCCCTATCAAGCCAATGCCAAGTCGCGTCGCAGAATGCCGTTTGGGAGCAAGAAAATCGCTCTGGAAAAGAAGAGAGCAGAGTACCCCAAGGCAACGCCCCTCTCTAATAATGCCCGCCCTTCGTGCTCGCCCCGTGGGTTATTCGAAACGGAGATTGTCGGGGTTTTTGCGGATTCTCGACTTCTATTCGGAATGAGGAACATAAGAAGGGTCCGGGACGACGAAGATGAAATTCGAGAATGTGGGTAGGTAGTGCCTTTAATCAACGTATATTGCGAGTCAACATGAAATATTTCGACTCTAGAGGACGTTTTTCGTTTAGACTTTCTATCACCTATGAGCTTCTTGAACCTGGAATATCCCAAAGTTTATAAAATACTTGCACTTGCATGTATTGGATAAAGTTGCTGAAGGCGCTCTGGGTTTGCTTGACCAACTGACATATGAAGAGTGTTTGGCTGATTTTCTCCACAACTCAGCTGTTTCTAAAGCAAACAGCGGACCAGATTCTCTTGACTCAGTGGCGTACCGAGGGGGAGGTGGCGTTTTTGAAGGTTACTTACATGGTTTATAAAATTGTGCAAATGACTTGTCTGCACTTGTAAATAATTAGAATAATTCTATTTTTAAAATTTTCAAAAAATTCATTTTAGCCTTACAAAAATTTTTTCCGGTGGCGTGGCTTCAGCCATGCCCCCTTTTTTTGAAATTTCGGGGTTCTGAGTCCGCAAAAATTTTGGGAGCATACCAAAAAAAATTTCGGAATGCGTGGCTCACGCCAGCACCTTCATCGAGAAAAAATTCTGTCGCTCCCCCCCCCCCCCCACCTGAAAAGTTTTTATGAATTAAGTGTTCCTGCTTTACTATTTTGTTTCCCGCTGACTGGTAACTGCGTTGATGAAGCGCACCGTTGGTTGGTGAAAGTATAAGGTTCTGGTTGAAGTTTGAGTGGAAAACTTGCTTCTTTTATGAAACAGAGTCGTTCGCACGACAAGAAGATCAGAATGCGACTGCATCTTAAAACAAATATATATTTTTCAGGGCAACCCCCTCGCAGGACATGGCGGTTATGGCTGTCAGGAAGTGAACTTTGACACAACAAATGGAATCGTCATCTCGTATGTCACCAACGGATTGAAATTGGGGATGTACGACGACTGCCCCACCTATTCACGTCTACAAAAAGCTGTGTACGACGTTGTACAAAAACCACGGTCTTAACGCGAACTGCCACCAATTGTTCCATTTTTTTAACTCTGTACTGTATTTTTTTTTTGTAACTCAGGGAGCATCAGAGCAATAAATGGCGTACTTATTGATTTTTGTACTGCGTATCTTGTAGAGTGATTTCTATGTTGTAACAGTGATCACTAGGTAATCCCGAATGGGTCATGTACAGAAGGCGTTATCATTTTGCACTTCATTATATCTTCACACGTTGAAGGCAGCGTCTATCTAATTTTCGCCTTCCCGTTTTTTATACTCAGGTCTTTCCGTGGCCCTGATTACAGTTATGAAGTTCAGAATGTGCAACCTCCCTGCCACTCTCCTAGGGCCTACATTTAGGATGGATTAATCGGTGGGGTTAAGTTTTGCCTTTAATAAGCATTGATCTCGTACTATTCCTCCTAACACGGAGCCACTGATTGGTCCAATGATTATGGCCTGGGCTAAAGTTCGATATTGTCGAACAAGAAGAAATCGTGCAAGTTGCCGATTGAACAGTGGCTTAATCAGAACTTATCGATGTATCTGCAAATGTAAACTGCTGCTGAAAATTTACGAATAAAAGGCCGGGCATACTTCACGCGATCTCAGTAGCGACACGATTTGGGTAAGCACATTTCAAATGTACAGAGATAGGACATTTTATCAATCCACGTATGTTATACACACTATGCATGTGCAGTTTGCTAGTGTTGAATCTGAAGACTTTTGGCGAATTGCCAAATCGCGTCGCGACTGAAAGCGCGTGAAGTATGCCTGGTCCTTAAAAGGACATAAGAATCATGCACGAGTTTTTCATGCAGGAGCTATTTACATATGGTTTTTATTAGGGTGATCGGCAAAAAATGGGGCAGCTTGATTTTTATTAAATTTTGAGATTTTTTGTTTCGATCAACGACGAGCAGGCTGCAACGTAAACGTCGCTTATACAACCGACCTTCGCCTATTATTCTGGCAAAGCGTCAACGCTCCTCTCCCGCAACCCTACGCGTGGCGCCCTGAAGAACTCGAACAGGGTTTTTTGAACCTCGCTCATTCTTGCGCTGCCATACCGCAAAGTTATAGAGCAATTGATAAATCATTCGAAAGAGCTGTTCATGCTCTTTCAAACAGTATATGAAACATACAGAATTTCTTTCTATTTCTGGGTAAAAAAAGCGAAATACCTGGAAAATCGCAATTTTTTGGCGCAACAAAAACCAGTAAATCAAGTTTCAATCTGTATTTTCCAAAGATAGATAAAATGTGAGGTAAACTGCATATGGATGGATAGAGCGTAAAAAGCTCTTTCAGATGGTACCTATAGAACATGCGTTCACCTGCAAAGCATTGAATAGCACTATCTTTGTTCTCAAAGCTGCTAATGGCCATATCTTCAAAATTTGAAAGTTGAGGCCAGCAACCTATCGTGGGTATGGTGACTGTACTTTCACGCATTGCAGCAGTAGTACTCTGGATGGTTTCGCATGTCTCACTGCGCAGAAACTGCCCGAAGTTTATAATTTGTCAAAGTGACTAACTTTCCATTTCAGCCACTATAACAATTATTAGGTACGTGAATGACCTCATATAGGTATTTTCTGAAAGAGAGTAATTTATTCTAACATCTGTCAAAATTGGGAAGTTTGATCATTTTTCCTTTTTGGGAAATCTACATTTATTCTCTAGGTGTCCCATTTTTTAGTGATCACCCTAAATTATCCACAGAGTGAACATGAGCATTGCAATGGATCTTTTATTATTTTTATTGAGTAGAGGTGATCATAAATTAGGAGAAGAATGCAGTCTAATGTGTTAGCTGAAAGTATTCAGAAGACCTTCAACTATCAGCATTTGAGCAAATGGATCAAAACCTGCACGAATACAAGAATCAGCACTATTCAATCGTTACTCGAAGCAATTTGCTTCCGCGCTTGTTTTCCATTCGATTCAGAAATGACGGACAGTCGTATGTGTAAAGAAAAAATCGAAGCATAATAACGTCTGAGACAGTGCTCTAGGTTTTCGATTGTCGCACGACATCGTAGACTGCATTTTGTAGACGTGCATAAGTTCGACAACTATCATGCATTCCCGCTTTCATTGCGTTGGTAACGTAAGCAATGACGACCTCGTTCGTGGTATCGAAGTTCACTTCTTGGCAACCATAACCTCCATGTCCAATGATGAAACTACCCTGAAATAAAAAGGGGCCTTAATCAGCTTTCCCATATGTTGGTCCTTACAATCCTACCACACATTCCCCTTTTTCTAACCTTTCATCGGGAGCTACCATGTTTTTTGGCCCTATCTTTTTGAAGGTTTTAAGTTTTCCTAAATTATGACAATAAGCCGCAAAACAATCAGTCGTGACAGTAGCTCCTTGAAAAGTCGAATCCTCACAGCGAAAGAAAATTTTTCGCATAAAAGGGCTTGGCTAAGTCACCCCCTCAGTGAAAAGGTTTCCTGTTCAAATTTCCAAAAACATTTTCACGCAATTCGAATTTTTGATGTTTTCAAGAATCTTTCAGATCATTCGCAAGTGAAAACAAAACTTGCTCATGTTGATGACACATGAGTACACGATTTTCAGGAATTTCGCAACCAATTTTTTTAGACGAGAGAAGGGGGGGGGAAGCTATACATTGTCAAGTTTTAGAACAAATTGCAAGCTTTTACGTCAACCTTGAGGAACGGTTGTACGATTTGGACTGAAGTGATTTCTTTTAGGCTCTGTTCTAGATGTTGGATAGGTTCGGCAGTGTTTTGTGACTGATTTGCCTCATGACTTATTTTCAAGTTTGTATTTGGAATCGACATTTTTCGAAAGCTAAGACAGCCGAACGGTGCAGGATTAAAGGCTGTGTCTCTGAGTGAATAAGCTATACAATAAAATAAGTAGGAGGGAATACGAAACTACCAAAGGCAAAGTGGAAATTTTCGCGCGTTTTCTTACTTCCCAGCCTTCCCAATTACAGCAAGTGCGTTTATGAATGTCCATGAAATGTATATGCGTGAACGATCGGAAAATTTGCGAAATTGTGGATAAATATAAGTGTCAACTCTTGGGCGTTTGTTCTTTAGACTTGGCTTTGAAAATTATGTGGATCAAACTGTGTGTGATTATCCGAAAGCCATTTTATTCTATTTCCTTTGCTCTAACAAATGGTATAAAACCTTCCTGGATTACGGAAATTATACTTAACGGTAAAAACGAAGCTGAAAAAAGCTACGAAACAACCTAATATGGAAGTCAAGAGAGTTGAGAAGTTAGTATATTCTGCAAAAAAACCGCTTGTCAAACGCTACCCTTGCATGCCAGTGTCCCAGGTAATGCTGATAGACTCACCTCACTGATGATCGGTGGATGGTAGATAAATCCGTGCCCATATGCCAGTGGTAGCTGAATCACATAATCCGTCCCGTTTATTGTAGGTTTACTGAGCAAAGTCATCGTCTTCTCACTGATCAATTTTCCGCTGACGACCTGAAAATTAGAAGATACTCAAATTCTAGCGATCATTAATATAGCCTAAAAATTTCCAATGAATTCATGCAAAATGACCATTAGTGGTCTAAATTTGTTACGCTCTTCTACAGAGTGTCCAAAAAATGTGTCTACTGTTTGATAGAGTCACGAAGTTTGTCGAGAAGCTTCAGATACCATTTTGTAAAACTGGCTTCAACTGAGATTTACAGCATGGATCGAATTGCCATTCTCTCTTCAAGGCTGTAGGATCACGGTAAGAACTTTATGGAAGGTTTGGCGCTAGTAAGGGTCATACTTCACCCCTGAAAAAGAGCTGAAAAAGCTGAAAACTTTACTCCAGGCTAGTCAGACTCTCTGATTTCAAATATGATACACGCACTCTACCGTAACGCTTTTCTCATAAGTTATGCCAGATATACTGTAACAGCCGATTTATGATACTTGCCAAAAATTTGATTTCGCCATTAAAAAGCTCTGAGAACGCGCGAAAAGTTATTTGGTAAAATCAGCATGCATAAAACCTTGTTACACAATTTTGCAGATCTGTTTGGATTTTTTTCTGAAGAGCCTATCTCACAGTGGCGTCTTATGTTGCAACTTCCTACAGTAATCCGTAATAAACAAAGGTAGGTAATTCTCCATGCTGCAAATATAAGTTAAAGCCGGCTTTACAGAATGCTACCTAACTTTTTCGAAAGAGCATTTTTTGGGACACCCTGTGTATAAGATGAAAAACGACGGAGTTCTGCCATTTTTCTTTGTTGAGTGCTACTATTGTCCAGGACAATCCCAATCTCGTAAGAAAACATAGGAAACTTTGAAAAAGCCCTCCACTTCCTTTCTTATCACAGCTGCTTCTCTTTTTCACAATGTTTTGCATCCCTACAGTCGTGGAGTTTAAAATATTAGCTACATTCTGCACCTTTTAGGTTTGCGAAAGAATGACTAATTCCTTTTTTGCGTTGAAACACCTTGGGTCCATAAAAAAGCAGCGAGTCCCTGAGATTTTAGGCACTTTACACAAAAAGAACTCTTCAGATCTGCTAAGAATTTTTGAAAGGTGCGAGGGCGAAAAACTTCGAAGGCCAAAAAAAGTGTGGGTTATTCTTACAACCCAAAAGTTTCATGGGATTGGCAAATTTTTGAACTGCATTAAAAAGCTTTTTTACTTGCTAATTGTGCCAACGTCCGCTATTGTCCCATTGTGCGGAGTTACTTACTGGTATGCGGTGGAGTTAAGACCTCTTGAAAAAGACGAGCACGTCGAAACGTCGGTCGAATAAACATCCACCAAGAAACCCAGTTTCGGCACAACAATCATTTACTGACACTATCATTATTGTTTGATGCCAAAATGGATTACGGTGACTGTACGAGAAAAGTTCCGCAAAATCGAACCTTCGACTTCCCGAGGCAGAAAGAAATCAAAACGAATGTCAACATGAACAGCTAGCGCAACTTTATCCAAAGCAAAGAGTAACTTATAATATGAAGACTCCGATTCATTCTTTCTAGTAGCATCTGTTGTTGTATAGTTGAGCACTTTATTACATCTCACTTGCGGACTATGAAGATAAAAGTTCTCAAGAGGCCTTCAAAATGCTGTAATTTCGTGAAACTGCAAAACTTTCAAAGTGAGCACCAGAAAATGCCGCCCACGGGGTCGAATCATTGAAGACAAAACTGATTTCAAAATTATAAGAATATCACAAAGATTTATTACCTACTACGCGAAGTTGAAAGCAAAAAAGTCTTGCCTTTTTCTCCCGCCCTTTGCATTGGTTTCGCTCATTCCGTTTGATATTATTATTTTTCCGTTTATTATTTCATTTGTGAGCTGGCTCGCTATATAGCCTGTGTCACGATGTGCTTCCTTTCCAATCAGCTCAAGCGCAGAGGTAGAAGAGGTAGAGCCCCGTGTTGCGTTCTTGAGCGTACTGCCGAGCATTCAAATTTGCTTCGGCTGTCGGAGATCGCCGCGCAATGCCCACGCTTGCGGATGTGTAGATGCTGGGGAATGGGAGGACGCGGTTGACACAGATCGTATTTAATTTGTATGAGTATGTTTTTGAGTAAATTAGTGAATATAGCAACAAGAAAAGGCTATCGTGAATGTCATTTCTTACCAAACTAAACATTTTCGCCAGTGATCGAGCGTTTCCAATACCGAGCCCGGCAGCTTGTTCCATTGCGTGGTGTTCCGGATTGTTCATTGCACTCTCGTTTGCCAATAACCAAGATGGATTGTTCGTTTTCTTCATGGGAGTATCCTACATTGAAAGTTCATGCTGTGACTTCAGGCTGAGAATCTAACTAGACCTTGTCTGTCAGAAAATAACTTAAAAGGAGAACTGCAACATGGTAGTCGTGGAAAATCTCCTTGAGTATGGCAGAAGTCTTTATTGGAGATGTGTGGGCCACACGATATTCTTCAGAAGTATTGAGGCCAATATGGAAGTCAATACCTAGAAACAATACCTTAGAGATAAGCTCCATGCTTTGTCATTTAGTTTCATTGATACGATTGAATACTGTTTAGAATCAATAATTGTAAAACTAAAGACTGAAAATATTCTAAAGTTGGTCTAAAATCTGTTTTTTTAAGGCAAAAAAGGTGATCATGGTTTCTGTGACAAAATATAAGATAAACACCATTTAGCTACTTTCGAATGCCAGTGCCAAGGAAAAAAGCGGAACGACGAGGGGGGAAGTTGTAGCGGCAGAGAATCTTCTCCTTCCACAAGAATGGCCGCGTATGTGCAAGTTGTTTTTCTTCATATCAAAATAACCTTTGATTTAACGGGCTTGGCGAGTGGAAGGCGGGACTTTGTGACCTAATTAAGGCCGCTCGCGCTTGCGATGCAGTCTGCGTTTCTCCCGCGCATCTGCCCTTTGATCAACCTAGCCTGAAATAGGTCACAAAGTCCCGCCTTTCAGCCGCCAAGCCAGTTGAATCAAAGGGCACTTTTCCAAACATATCCATATGAAAAACTGATTGGCTCGAGAACTCGTGATCAAGAAAATCTGATCAGTGAAAAAACATGTCTCATCCTTTTTATTCATGATTCAAAGGTTTCTCCGGTGTCATTCATACATTATTTATTATGGCCAGAAGGCAAATATTCAAGAATTTTGTTAAATTTTTCTGCAATTTTCAAAAAATCGTTTTTATAGACAACTTACCATGGGGTTCAGCAATTTCCTCTCTGAAAAACTGCCCAACTCCTCGCTGTTTCTCGTCTGTGTGTCTAATGATTTGGTCGATAAGCCACCCGTAGCTAAGTGCATGATACCCGCTCATAGTTCCTGGAGGGAACTTTGGTGCTTCATTTTCCAGCACTTCCCTCATGAGATTGTGATCCAAAACCATTTCTTTTGTGATAGGTGTTTCGATGTAGTATAGACCTGCCTATATTCGTCATTTTATCTTTTTTTGTAATGCATGCATCAACTCGCTAACCATTTGAGACAACACCCATTCGATCGTAATATTTTCTTTGCCATTTTTCGCAAATCCTGGCCAATGCTTTGATACGAGGTCATCATATTTTAATCTTCCACGGTCAGCTAGCATAGCAATACATAGAGCGGCTACGGCCTTAGTAGTGGAGAACACGATACTTATAGTGTTCTGTAACACATGAATTGAAAAATCATAATCGTCAAAAATCGTCATAAAACTCGGAATTGAATTAATTCACCTGCTTCCATGTCTTCGCGGATTGTATATCTGCATATCCTCCCCATAAATCTACCACTTTTCTTCCTTTTACATAAACTGCTACAGAAGCACCTTCAGCTTCTAATCCTTCGATAAAATTCTGCCTTAACTGAAGTCAATAGCAATTCATAATCGTGTTATAGCATAGCGCAATGAACTTACTCAAAAGCATTTTGAACTCCTTCATACTGGCTATCCACCTCCCCTCCAAAATGCAGAGGGAACTTAGTGTAAAATGTATCCATAGCAAAGTGGAAAAGGAGAGCTATCGCACTTGTAAATACGGCATACCGTAGCAAACCCATTTCAAGAGGAATTACTTATGAGAATTTTCCTTTGCCTGCCTGCAGAAATAAACAATGAGAAAAGCTGTAAGGAATTCTATAGGAAGCCATCAGGTCCAAGAAATTTGCTGGGGAAGGAGGGAATTCTTTCGAATGAAATGGCGTGGCTAACGTCGGAAAAATTTTGAGATATACTTTGAAATTTAAGTTAATCCATAACACGAGAGTCTAAGAAAAGAAAAGGTGGCGGTAGCTACGGCGTAAAAAGTTTTTTTTACAAAACTTTTGAGTCTTTGGAAAATCAAAGATTATTGGGTGATAATATGTCAATCTCACAATTTGATTGAGAATTCCATTATCACGATATTTTGCTAACAATGAGCTGCAAATGACGTTTTACTTCTTTAACTTCCTTTTCGCAAAGTACGAAGTTGGCTGATTGCCCTATCCCAATAATATAATTTCTGAACTTTTCACTATAGCATCCATACTTGTTTTCTACCGATTAATTCTCGTTGTTCACTTTATCGTGAAATCGCTCTTTTTTTAAAGATGGGCTCATTTTCTTTTCATTTAAACTGGATTCACATTGAAAGTAACATTGGCTACTGCTTGAAGTGGCTGCCGTCACAACAAAAACGAGCAAATATATTAGGTTGAACCGAAAGTTCGTTCGCACCATTTTCAAAAAATCATAACTTCTTTCCGTCACAACGATTTTGCGCAATTTAAATTTTATTAGAAAGCATGAAGCATGTAGTTTCCAATAGTTCCCTGGTGACTTTCCAGCATGTTCAGATTGTAGAGATAAAAATGAAAGGACGAAAACATCCGAAATTCGGAATTTTTGAGAAACAATTCCAAAAATCTAGAAACTGCGCGATAAAATCCAGAAAAGCCATTATCCTAACTTTTCTTATATTTGATTACTAACTGAGTTAAGTTTGTGCTGATCGAGCTCTTCTTTCAAAAATTATGATTTTCTGAAAAAAAATGCCGAAAAATCAATTTCTTAGGAATTCTTGGGAAAGTGATTTTTCGGAATTTTTTTCAAAAAATCATAACTTTTGAAAGAAGAGCTCGATCAGCCCAAACTTAACTCAGTTAGTAATCAAATATAAGAAAAATTAGGATAATGGCTTTTCTGGATTTTATCGCGCAGTTTTTAGATTTTTGGAATTGTTTCTCAAAAATTCCGAATTTCGGATGTTTTCGTCCTTTCATTTTTATCTCTACAATCTGAACATGCTGGAAAGTCACCAGGTGACTATTGGAAACTATATGCTTTGCGCTTTCTAATAAAACTTAAATTGCGCAAAATCGTTGTGACGGAAAGAAGTTATGATTTTTTGAAAATGGTGCGAACGAACTTTCGGTTCAACCTAATAATTCACGTTAATAAGAATCTACACAGGAAATGGATTACCATAAGCAGCAATGCCAAATAGTTGCTCCAAAAGTGCGAATGTTGGGTGGAAATCTTCGCTAAAAGTAGGAATCGTTTAAGGATGGCTAGAACAGAATCAACATACATCAGGACCAATCTCAACAGCTAGAGTTTATGACAAACTTTCCAATGAATCAAGACTTTTCGTATTATGCAAAAAAGCGGGGCAAACGCACAACATTTTATCAGTACTGCGTAAATTCATTCGATCAACCATTCTTCTTGCACTCACAACATCGGCAATGTAACAATTACTAAATTCTATGCTGAGATTGAGAAAAGGCTTCGCCTCATTACGAGACCCACTTCAAAAATTTGTAATCAGTCATGTTATTTCTTCAACGTTCAGCTATATCTTAAAACATAAAGTGGCATCAGAAGTCCCATCTGTTAACAGCTAACAACAAAACGTGAAGAAGTACATTATATGTGCAAACAGAAGAAATACGAGCGCTATTAATAACAACATCCAAAGAACTTTCAAAGAATGGCTGCACAGCTGGAAGAAGTGTGCATTGATTCAAATCAAGGAATCCTTAAAGATGCAGCGTTCTTCGAAATTGGTGTTTAGAGAATGGGTCTATGATTTCGAAGGATTATGTGATAAAGAAGTGGGGGAAGGATTTACAATCTCAACTATCAACAGCTGCGTAAAAAATGTTCATGTGTCTGAAAACATGGAGGATGTAAACTGGAATTGTGGAATGCACGTTCCATAGAATCGAAACAACAAGCAAGAAAGTGTAAGATAAGGTGCAGTTGGTTTTCTGCAAGAAGAGCTTGCAATTCCAAAAAAATTGAGAATTTGAGAAATTCAATCAATCACAGGTTAGCAGATGATAGAATCATTGAGAACGTCTTTCAAGCTCTCAAATTTGGTATATGGGATCCCAAAGCCGAGACGGATCCCTACGGCACAATTCATCAAAGCAAACAAGAATTATAGGCACTTTTTTCTTTATTGTCAAAGTATTGAAAGACGAATCGCAATCACTTTTCACGTGACCAAATTGATCACTCGTGACAACCTTTATTTGAGAAATCATAATACGTAAACAAAATTTGTGCGATTACAAACTGTGCTCCTCCTAGCTTGTTGTGTCTTTCTAGTTCAGCTGTGTTAGTTGAACATCCGAATGCCGTATTTCCAATTAGAAGCCGTCTTCGCTAATTATTTTGTAAACTACTGTGAATATCACATTGACGACCGCTAGACACACATGGTGTGTCAAAACTGGATCGTTGAAATGCCTCCTATTTTGGCTCGAACCCATGGGGGAGTTTTTTTTTGTGCTGAATCTAGATATAACCTCCGCTGCTTTTGTCAGCATTTCAGCGCCATTGTAGGTGTACTGCAAGTGGAATTTGCGTGATTTTATCTAAGAAAATGAAAAATGTTGACTGTTCCGCGATAGGTTTTGGTTGTCATTGTGATATAATTGGGACATTCAAATGATGAAATACAATATTACGAACATAGAAAATGGACTACAAAAGAGGTAAAATTAGATAAATTTATTACACCAACAACTGAGGGATTTGTTGACCCCCGTACATCTTTCAATACATATACAAATAAAAATCAGATGACGTGGGCATTCTTGGTTCTAAAGATCATCAAACGATAAGATAATAAATTAACGAGTTGGCAATGTTCAATGCTGTAAATCCTGTGCTACCTATCAAATATTGAATCACTTTAAGAACTTTTTTGCTCTAAACCGTTGCAATTTGCAAATCCAAAATGAACACAAGGAATTTCTTTGAATAAAAAACACATTTAGCCAGAGCAAACAAAACTATACGGAATGTTTGCAAAGTGTCGCAGATCAATCCCTATGAGCTCTACCTCCAAAACACAGCACTCAGCAAAGATTTCCAAAAAATTTCTGAGGCATGCTTCCGAATGCTGCTAACATTCATATACAACGGGCTGCATAGCTCCAAAAACGTAGTCACAAAGTGCTTACAGCCTCAAATTAAAGAAAGAGAGAGAAAATTCACACTAAAGATCTTTGCTTCTTGGTTCTTTCGATGGGAGTTGGCAACTCTTAACAAAAAAGTCTTTTTAGCCTTATTTTCAAGCTAAAATACCCGAGCAAAAATGGACGAAGACTTGTACGTGTTCATGAATGTCTAATAACGTCGTATATAGCGTTATGTAGACGCACATAGGTTCTGCAGGTGTCATACATTCCCATCTTCAACCCATTTGTGACGTAAGCTATGACGGCTTTTCTCTCCAAGTCAATGGTCAGTTGTTGACATCCGTGACCATCATGTCCTATTATTGGCAGTTTCTGGAAAACGATAGCCTTGATTAGTATCCTCAATATCACCTTTTCTAAGTTCGAGATGTATCAGATGCCTTGTGTCTAAAAATCGAGCTTTTTGAGAAGTAAGTCCTTATTCGCTGCAGCAAAGTCACCAGGTGCGAGCGAAAGATGTGGATTGGGTTATATTCTAGCCGTGTAACAGAAGTCAACATCCTTCATGGAATTATCCTTTAAAAGGATTATTTCTAAAAAGGCATTAGTTCAAGCGCTCCTTACTGCTAAAGAAGGGAGTGTGATTCGGGACAGAATTATTTTTTGACCAGAGGCCGTATTCATCAACGAACCCAATGGGTTCCGTGGGTTCGCGAACCCACTGGGTAAGATCGGTACTCACAAGTGCTCCGCTGGGTTCGCCAACCCATGACGTCACAGTGTGCCTCCTCTGGTAGGTGTACTATTTTCCTCATTTTCCCACGCACAGGAATCGCGCTAAACTAAAAGCGTCAGCACGCTTGGCACGCTGACGAGAACTCTTATGTTTGGATGAATGCCACCAATCAATGTCTTTCGTGCGACGAAACTTGCAATTCTGTTCTTTTTCGAGTATTCTTTCGGATTCAATGACTATCGACTATAATATGTGTGGATAGAGATGCAAAAAGAGGATCATACTCTTTTTTGGACAAGTGTCCTTGTTCGGAGTTGTCCCTGACCTTTGAGGCCTACCATACCTCGCGCGATTCGGCCGAATCGCCACTTTCACGCGACTTGGCGATTTGCCAGATTTCTACAAATTTATCGTGCGCGCTTCTCGGACGCATATTTGGGTAGCTTGTATAATTTGTTGCAAACCGAGCAAGTTTTGACCAAAGGCAACGCATTAACGACGGTTTACGAAGAGTCGCTGTTGTGCCGAATCGCGCAGCGACTGGAATCGCGCGAGGTATTGGCCCGAGATAGATATTATTCCAAATTCTTCGAAGATTGCACTACATAACTGGCATAAACGAATCGCGCAGTTTGAATCAAATGTTATGGCGCAAGGAGTAGCTGTTTTATTTTATGGATGTTTTGTTACACATAACAAGTAAATCTATGCCTTTTTAAACTCTTACTTCTAAACAGAATCTTCAACACCAGTAACAAGGTGCATATAAGGAGCACTCAATCTTACTGTCCATTTGTATTTCTTGTGCGAGGGGCAAAGGAATTATCGACAGAGTTTCAATCACTATGAACTAATACGTGATTACCATGATTACTACTTTTTCCCTTCATATTGATTTCTGCTTCACGAAATTAGTAAACAAACGGTTCTAATTGAAAACTGTTTTTAAATCATTTTTGAAGCTTTGTAGGAAAAGCGCAAATTGCCAGCACTGCGCTATTGGTTGCGCCCGCACAGCCCGCCGTTAATGCGAGTATAAAAGGAGAGTAAACCCGCCTCCAGGGGTTCTCATGCACTTCCGCCGCCAGCTTCGGCTGGCACCCCCGCACCTCATTTAATCCCCCTTTCCTCATTTTCCTTTATCATTGTTTTGTATTCTTCATGTATTCGTCGAATCCATGTAACCTTCTTATTACCCTCGATATCATCCACCTCCTATGGTACTCTGATTATGTATTACCCTCATCTACCGCTTATGTTATGCCGTATACCTATCCGGCTACTTGCCTCTATATACTCAATTTCTATGACGTGATGTCATAAGGATAAACTTTAGTAATCATTCATGTTTTGTAGAGAAGGGAAAGACTAGAGAGAGTCAAAATAATCATACGCTACTGGACAAAGTCCTCGCGATAGCCCAAGATCGTTTTAAATATTACAGCTTTTGTTTGCAGACTTGCTCGGAGTAAGGGCGAAAACTTTTTTATTATTCGCGGAATACAGGGACATAGATGAACATGGATTAACATAGACAATCAGACGCTTTGCTTCCCAGTAAGATAGCCTGAGCACACAAGGCAAGTGCTTAGGCTCTTTACAATCTCAGGCAAAATTTCCGTCAAAAAGCTTGTTTGCGACTTTTCCAAAGACTGCCAAATGGTAACTGGCATCAAGTTTGCTATCCCTACATCTTAGTGGAATATCTTATCTAAATTTATCCAACAAAATTCCTAGTTATGAGAAATATGGGAAGTGTCCTTAATGTGCAAGTGTTGCTAGTAGTAACCATTCCTACATAAAAAAGTTCACTTAATTTTCAGCAGAGGAACTGGGTTCGCATGTAACCCACTGACGAGTTTGCATCATGCTTGGATTCGCCAGTCCAGCGCTCAGTGGGTTCCGGAACCCACGAATTGTTTCGTGAATACCGGTATGCTTGACTTTTGGGTTCGCGAACCCACTGGGTTCGCTCATGAATACCGGTTAAGTGGCTTTTTGTGGGTTCCGGAACCCACGAGGTAGGCTCAACCCACTGGGTTCCGGAACCCACTAGTTTCGTGAATACCGATTTTGTGGGTAGAGCTTACCCAATGGGTTCTAGAACCCACTGGGTTCGTTGATGAATACGGCCACAGGACTCTACAGATGGCACAGGGCAGGCTAGATACTTGGAAGTAACAAGAAGGGATATTGTAGCTGGAAAGCTGCTGGAAAAGAACATTAGAACATTGATGAACTGAATAAAAAATTTCTTTGGAGGACTGGTCAAGAGCCCATCAAATCAACTATACTATGCCGCCTGTCCCTCTCCTTCTTCTCTCAAAAAACTTTCTGTTAGCCATTCACATGTCACACAAATACGAAATTCTCCTCCCCACCTGCATCTTTTATTTCATCTCTAGCTTCTTCTCTGTAGACCCTTTCACCCGTGCTCATCTGCCTACACAATTCTGTTCGCTGTAAAAGCTACAGTTCTCAGCCTCAATATGTTCACAGTAAAAACACAAGAAATCGCAAATGTGTTCCGAAATAAACAAAAGGCTTAATTACAACGGACACGCAATGATTTGATGCCAAATTTAGTGCATATATGCGCAAAAGAGAGATACAATCTGGAAAGCTAATCTGTGAATTAAAGTTGTGGCAAACAAATTCCGAGTTACGTGTCCTTGGGCAATCAAGCGAATCGCCTGAGGTGGCTCAGAGAAAACTAAGCCATAATTTCTTATTTTCCTCACATAATCTCTTGACCTCTCTTACAAAAACGTATCTGACTCCCGATTCTCATATACTAGCTCTTGAACCGCTACTGCTCTCCTACCCCGCTTAGCAGGGTCAAGCGTGTTGATGCGATCCTAGACCCTCTTCTGCGACCCCACCCCCTGAAGGTACCTATCCGTACGACCCCCTCCTCACCTACCCCCCCCCCTCCCACCTACCTCTCCCGCTTTCTTTTGCGGTAACCTGCATAAATGAATGTCAATCTCAAAAGGTGCCTGCCAATGGACCTCAATCAAAATTATAGATCAGTAGATAACTACTTACAAATTGGGAAGTAATGCAAGTAATGCTTCGCCATTCAAGAACCAACTCACAAAAATACTGCGTAAATTGGGTAAGTAGTAAAATTCCACGAAGATTTGGCTATGTTTATTGTGGTTGGGAAAATACGAATGGAAAGGACATTATCACAAAGCAGAACATCGATTCCAATCTGAATGAAAATTAAGCTTTACTTCAAATTTTACAAATTATTGACGGTCACCGTTGGTAAAGTTATGGGATTTTGTCGAGTGTGTGAGACTTCAGTGGGGCTTCGGAAGCAGAATTTCTGAGCCAAGGGGTACGTGCAACATCTCTGGCACGCATACACACCTTCAATAATGTTTGGGTTTCTGCAAGTTTTTTTTTGAATTTTCAAGCACCTTCTAGGCAGCAAATTCGGTCCCCGTGCGACACCATTTTTTGAAGGGAGAAAGATATGTTACGATACGTTTGAAGCATAAAATATGTTTTTGACTAAAAGGCTTACTACCTTTTGCACAGATTTCCTTGCGAAAAAACTGTTCTAGCGCCATCCAGAACGAGTCAAAAACGTGGACGAGCACGGTACTTTGAAAATTCGTAACTAAAGGCAGGGAAAGACTAAAAGGCTGCAATGAACAGGCTTTGTAAGATAGTGCCCATACTATCCACGGAAAAAGTTTTAGCCATTGAGGAGCAGTAGACTCGAAAAAATCTAGATGCGACTCGCAAATTTAGGTGGGATCCTAAAAAGCAAAAAGTAGGATTTTTGAGCTTGAAGTTTTGTATCTCACCTGAGAAGTTATGAAACAGCCTGAAATTCTTATGATAAAAAGTAAAGGGGTGGCTTCGTATTACAGCAAGTTTGCAGCTAACAAGCTTCAATAGCTCCGGAGAAATTTAGATGAGACGCAAATACGACCCCTCCCCCCTTTTCTCATTTTTTGCTACCATACATAAAATCATAAGAAAATCCACAGTTGAAAAAATAACACTAAATTTTGCATTGATATAGCGGAACATCTCCAAAGTACAGATAAATCATATGGGCCCATGAAAAACATTACAAAAAGATTTATAAATTCATGATGGTCACAGCTGGTAAAGATATTCGCTTTTGTCGAGTGTGTGAAACTTCAGGAAGGCTTCAGAAGCAGATTTCTAAAGCAATCGGTACATTTAGCATTTTTATCAAATCATACATCCTTCAAAGTGTTTTGAGCTTTTGTAAATGTTTTTTTGAGAATTTCTACAAATTTTTTATCTTTTTTATTCTTATTTCCACTTTTTTATAGATTTATTGTAAAGAACATGACTAATTACCTGCTTTTTGATCCCCTTTCAAGCTTAGGGTATTTTAGCCTAACTACCTCCTCTTACGACCCCCCCCCACCTTAGCTACCCTCTTCACGACCCCCCGTTGTGCGACAATCGCATCACAAGCTTGACCCTACCGCTTAGTTGTACTTCCAATTCCTGAACAAATGGCGCAACCCTGCTCTAAAAGGCGGGGTGATGCGCTAAAAGACAACATGGCGCCAAAGCAGACAGTTGGAACACCATTACTTCTGTTAAGAGTGTGTTAGGTGTTTCTTCTGTTTCTCTGTTCTGTTTTCTTCATTTTTTGCCCTCTGAGATTCTCATGGGTTATGTCGTGATCTCTTTTAAGGTCGAAGGGGGAATTAGTTTGCGAGAGTTATTGGGGCCATCTCCTACCAACCAACGACTTTTCAAAGCAAAGTTTACCTTTTTACTGCATGTGCGGATAACTTACTCCATCAATTGGTGGACGGTAAAAGAACCCATGTCCTTTAACCATAGGCGCTTGTGTGGCGTAGTCCGTCTCGTTGATTACCGGCTTTTCTAACAACTTGAGAGTCTTCTCACTAACGATGCGCCCGTTGACAAACTAAAAAACAAGTAAAATGAAATTACTTTTTTTAAGACACCTTGCAGGTCATGTTACCAAGCTGAATATCGTCGCTAAAGATCTTGCGTTTCCAATGCCAAACGCAGCTGCTTGTTCCAACGTATGGTGCTCAGGATTGTTTACAGTACATTTTGAGACTATATCGGCCCACGATGGGTTCGCGATAGAGCGCGCAAATGGACTATTCTAGAAAAAACGAAAAAGACATTTTTCGGAAACCGATATATTACCTTGTTAGCTGTCATTATGTTGTATATAATGATGCCAACCGAGGGATTCCTTATAATCTCTCTTATCACTTCCATAACAGGAAGCGGGGTTACTCGAGCCATGCGGTATTCTTCGGAGAGGTTTAAGCCAATGTGGAAGTCAATGCCTAAACGCTGACTTCTGCAAAGTGAGTTTGGCGGCATATGATTATACCAGTGCGTCACCTCTGCTTCGCAGAGGCTCGCAATGGTCCTACTCTATATGCCTTACTTATTCTCGCCTAATAATGGCTTGAAACTCACCGCGCAATGCCGACTATCGCGAATGAAATGTAAACAACTATTCATTCTAAAAGCTTTTTCATGTAAGATCGGTGATTTCGGGTGGATGTAACTTTTTGCAGGAGAACAAATGCAAATTTGAATAGGTTTTGAAACTTTTTTTGGCTTGGTAATCGCAATGAGGACAATAGTTATCGTGAGCTACATCTCTATGCAAAAATCTCTTCAAATGCTCAGGTAAAACCACGGCGGTTTGACCCGCGACCATTTCTTTTTGGCGTCGTTTTCGTAAAATAGCAAATCTTTGATCACTTTTCGGTCTAAAGTCCATGGCTTACACATTAACCCGCTAAATACATCCACGGCTTTGCAAAAAGCGTTGATACGGACCCAATTTTGCGGGCCAGAAGCCAAGTGGATCCGTTTGACGCGCAAATTCTGAGGGACCCACCCAGCGTTCGTGCTTTTGTATGGTGGAGTTCTACGTTGGTAGCATGCGCTATGCAAAATTTGAGCTCTGGATGTTGGCTGGAACCCGCCGTATGAATTTCGTTACAGACAGACAGACAGACACACACACAAAGTCACGTAAACACCCTTAGCCCGTTAGTATAAGTTATGATGTATCATATATCATTCATTCATTCTACTCTCACACCGAGTGGTTGAACATCGTCTATCGTCTAATGCCGGCTAAGCTCAAAAACCAAAGCCACTAAGGCCACGTTACTTTCTGCCTCAATTTCAGATAACATGGCTCTTCACTCTCGTACATCATCTTCTACAATAATGGAGCAGAATTGCATTAACACTGGCAACCATGGAACGACTACAAATGCGAATGAGTTCGAGAGAGATCAGCTGATTGCCCAGCTGCATTCGATACTTGTGAAGCTCTGCCCTTACTTGAGATACTATTGACTTTTCTCAATACAGATCCACATGCCATTGTGGAAGCAGAGAAAAGAGGCAGGTCCTTAATTATCTACGGTGTCGATGAAGCGAAGGATGATGCTGCTCCCTCTGAGAAGCAGAAACATACTGAGACAGCTGTCTCAGAAATCCTCGATCTCCTTGAGGTGGAAGCCCGCCCAACGGAGGTGTACCGCATGGGCTCCTCCACCTCAGGGAGACCTAGACTCATTAAATGTGTTTTGCTCGCGGCGTTTTGTCTTCAAAGTTTTACGGAACGCTCCGAAACTACGCTCCTTGGACGGTCACAACCAAATCTTCATAAGAAGGTCGGTGACCCGAGAGGAACGGGCTAGAGACAAAGAATTGCGAAGAAAAGCACATGAAATGAATCTAGAACATAATGGCGTGAAAATATATGTGGTGTTTAGAAATGAGATAGTTAAGGCCTCTGACATACCAAAAATAAAAGCTTCGTTTTCAAAAAACTGAAGAAGTTTGCTCCAGATAAACTTCTATGCCTTTTGTTTGATGCCAGAAGCCTCACCAACAAACTCCTTGAGCTGCATCACCTCCTTTTTTGTACGAAACCTGCTATAGTGTTTATTACTGAGAGTTGGTTAACATCGAATGTTTCTGATAATGAAGTGATTTCTCGCTTGCCATACTCTATTTTACGCGGTGATCGATCCCACAAAAAGGAGGTGGTGTTTGTGTTCTTATCCATACTGAATTATTGCATGAAATTTGTCGCACTAACTTTGATTCCCAATCCACCTACAACATTGTAGCATTTGATGTTACGTTTGAGTTCCCCAATAAGTATCGATTTGTATTAACCTACCGACCTCCTAATATCACTATACAGGAGGATGATGAACTACGCTTTATCCTATCTCGCCTCGCATCTGATAACACGAAGACCATAGTATTGGGTGATATCAACTTGAGCGGTGTAGACTGGAAAATGAAGAAAACAAAAACGCTTTCCTCCCGTAAATATCTAGACTTGTTTGATTCTCTTGGGATGAACCAAATAGTTACGTTGCCTACGCGGGGCAACTCCATCCTGGACATCGTTCTTGCTTCTCCAGGTATTGTTTGCTTCGAAGGGACTTTACCCCCCCCCCCTCCTTGGTTGTGCTGACCGTGCAATAGTCAAATTCACCTTAGAAATGCCAAAAATAAAGGAATGCACAAATATGATGCATGATTTTGATTCTGCTGATTTTAATACCATCAACAGAGAATTAGCAGCCATTAATTGGTTTCAAGTATTTGATGGCTATGTTGACATTGACGATGTCTACTCAAGAATTCTCACAGTACTATATAATTTGGAAACTTACGTCCCACTCAAAAGGCATCACGCTTTTGTTATCAAATATCCTCCTCATATACCGAGTCTTTTACATCAAAAGAGGAGACTCTTTCTCTCCAAAATTTCCACTGATTGTGAACAATACAGAACTGTTTGTCGATCTCTTTCTCATCATCTACGACGCTTTTGGGACTACAAACAAAGAAAAATGGCGGAGAAGAATAATTTGCGCGCTTTGTTTAATATGATGAGTTATCGTATTTCCAAATCCAAAGTTGGTGCCACCCTTCTCGATGATGACGGAAACACCTTACTCTCATCTCTAGACAAGGCTAATGCTTTGACGGAAGGTTTCGCAGGTGCTTATACCAGTGCTTGCCTGCAAATCTCCCAGGTTGAAACTTTAAGCGGTAATGTGTTTCCCAATCTAGTTTTTTATATTTTTTTTATTTTTTCGCATACTGAAGTACACAAGCTTTTGAAAGCAGTTAAACCCTCAATGTCATGCACTTCTGAAGACATACCTGGTTTCTTCTACAAGAAATGCGCTAAAAGTCTCTCCTTGCCTCTAACGCATATCTTTAACATTTTTTGATGACTGGGAATGTCCCAAGAATCTGGAAAAGAGCTATGGCTGTGCCTATACCTAAGTGTGCATGTGCAAACAAGGTTTCCGAATTTAGGCCAATTAGCATTTTGCCTACGCCCTGCAAGATTATGGAAAAAATTTTGGCAAAATCTATTTTGAAATAGTGCTTAGAAAACCACTTTTTTACCCGATGAACAACATGGATTCATACCCGGCTTCTCTACATCTACACAACTGGTGAAATGTTCCCAAGATTAGATCATGGCACTTAGCGAAGGCAAATCAGTTGATATCATATATTTCGACTTAAGTAAAGCATTTGATTCTGTCAATCATGCTTGGCTTCTCATGAAACTTGAAAGCATAGGCATTAAGACCAATCTTTTGAGTTGGTTCGAATCATACCTATCGGGACGAACCTCTGAAGTTGTTTTTCAAGGTCAAAAGTCTACAGCAAAACCCTGTACGTCAGGTGTTCCTCAAGGAAGTGCTCTCTCCCCACTATTATTCAACATTTATACCATGGAACTACCAAACCTACTAAGAACTGACTCTCGTATTAATGTAGCAGCTCATGCTGATGACATTAAAATCTATGGTAGTTTCGATAACAATGATAATCTAGTAATACGCGAAAAGTTGAGATTGTCTGTTCATTAAATGCTACAATGGGCTAGAAATTGGGGAATCAGAGTTAATTAATTTATCTAAAATCAGATACTGCGATTAGGTGCTGATTTGACTGTTTACGGAATACCCTTGTAAATTAAGCAAAATGTTAGGGACCTTGGAGTGATGATTGATCCTCTTTCAAATATTCATTACACATTGATAATATTGTTTGCAAAACCAACCGCATAATGTACACCTTACTAAGAAACGTACGTGTTCATGATATCAACATCTGGCTAAGACTCTGGAAAGCTTAGGTATTTCCTGTTTTAGAATATAGCAGTCCAGTTTGGAATCCCAATGTCAAAAATCTCATCGGAAAATTGGGTTCAACGTACATTCACTAGAATCTTATATATATATATATATATATATATATATATATATATATATATATATATATATATATATATATATACAGGGTGTCCCAAAAAGATGTGCACACTATTTGATTGTAAATAACTCTCTTGTAGTGAAATGTTTCGAGAAGCTTTAGGTACCATTTTGTAGAGCGAGGTTCAACTTAGATTTACAGTGTAGAGCGGATCGCCGATCTCTCATTCTTACTGTAGGATTACGGTAGAAACTTTGAAGAGGGTTTTGAGCCATGAAAGGCCATATTTTGTTCCAAAAAGAAACCCAAACAACCTGAAAACTCTCACACTGGGCTAACTAGAGTTGCTGATTCTAGATGTGAAGTTCGCAACTCTTCCTAACGTTTCATTAAAAAATTATGCGAGGTAAGCAGTAGCAGACGTTTTTTAAGTGTTCCTAAAAAGTGCGGTTACACCGTTTAGAAAAGCAGTGGTATCAACGCAGAGTACTTATTGAACTCAGGGTCCATAAAAACCCCTATTACACAAATTTCCACATTTTTTTGAAAAATTTTTGAAACGGCCCCTTCTTCACAGTGACACCATATGTTTGAAGTTTCTACCGTACTCCTGCAGTAAGAATGAACGACCGGCGATTCGCTCTACACTGTAAATCTAAGTTGAACCTCGCTCTACAAAATGGTACCTAAAGCTTCTCGAAACACTTCACTACGAGAGAGTTATTTACAATCAAACAGTGTGCACATCTTTTTGGGACACCCTGTATATATAACTCAAAATCCTGAGTTTGGAAGCTATGTGCGCTATAGAAACGCGCACCGCTCAACCGATTCTCCTGAATCTTTGCACACACACGTTTTCGACCCCTGCGCAGATGATAGGCTACTTTTTGCGGCGATTCGTTGGGTCCTTCTGTGGATTTATTGATTTGTTTACGCTTTTCTAAGGAACTGAAGGCTTATCATGTTGAATCAAGCATTTTCCCATAATCGTGAAAGGAAAGCGGTGAAGCTCATTTTCACCACAGATCACGAGGATGCGGTTTGAAGCGGATGTCCCAGAGTAAGTCATCCATAATATATAGGGGGGGGGGGGCTTGCAGTGCAGGTGAACGGAACAGGGCCCGGCTGGAGCGGGGGAAGCCAACTAGTTTTAAATATTCCCAAATTCTGGGTACCCTCAGGCTCTTCCTGATTATAAAACTAGACTAACCATGTTAGGACTCAAAAGCTTATATCACAGAAGATTATTAGCTGACATATTGCTAGCTTACAAGATCATCTGAAACTCGTTTAAGATTTTCAGAATTCTGTATTTTACGTCCCATTAGTATACGTCGTTTTATAATTAACGCTTACACACATAATTCCAAAGGATGGCGAAAACGTAGCCTACAGAATTCATTTGGTGCCCGCATGTGTCACATACTAAATAAACTTCCTATAGAACTAATAACCTTGGATCCACACAAATTAAGGAAATTCCTAGTCAAATATAATTACCTTTACAAATTTAGCTCACATTGTATTTAACTTCTCTGTTGAATTTTTGTCTTCTTACGATTACTATCCCCTACTGCTGTATTCTTCGAAATATGTATTGGGAGACGAAATGCAAGTTATAGTTCTTTATGTGCATCTACTTTCATATCATATCCTTTCTCCTGTAGACGTTGATCCTGACTGACTATTAATTACACAGTTCAAGAAAATCTCCCACTTACCGATAACAACGAAACTATTATTTACCCACGATTGTATTAGAGAACCCTGCTAGCCAATTCTCTATTTACTTTATCTGTACAACTCAATGCACATTATTGGAAGTTTTGAGCTTGCACATCAATCAGCATTTCGTTGCTCAAATATGGAGTTTTGATTGATGTGCAAGCTCAAAACTTCCAATAATGTGCATTGAGTTGTACAGATAAAGTAAATAGAGAATTGGCTAGCAGGGTTCTCTAATACAATCGTGCATATGGATGGTATGGATCGATCAGTAGACAATTTGATGGATGGATAAATGGATGGACTGGTACATCATGTACAGAAATGACCTGCCACAAGTGGTACTTCATGACACATCGCATTTTGAGCGTAATATATGCTACTTCTGCTGGTCGCTATGCGTGTGTTCGAAACTCCCGATAATGTATAAGAAATCTACTCATACCTTCTAAATTCTAATTCTCAACACCATCGCGTCTACATTATTTACCTATATCATCATCGAATGCATCCGGCATCTTTCCCATAAATCACATTTCCAACAATGTTGGCCTTTATTAGCAATCCATGAGCTTTACCATTTTCCCGAAATTATATAAGAACTCTATTAGATTTGTCACTTGGATACGACTCGAAAGTGAGAGCAAATGTGAAGTCATTCTTGCCTTTTTCTCCCACCCGTTCCATATTTAATCGCCTGTTTGTATTTCATTTTTGAGGTGGTGCATCGTTTACGATGTATTTAATAAATAAATAAATAAATAAATATGATTTGGTTTCTCTTAATCTAGCTAATCTGAGGACCGCCAATACCGTCATCAACTTCATGCCATAAAAATTATTCGGCAGCGATGAAGAAATAAATTGCTGAATGCGACGACAATGTTATATCTGTAAAATTTCCACAAAGTTTGGGATAAGGATTTTGGTATGGAGGCCGATGAATTTTCACTCCCTGTGATCTATGAAAGATTTTGTTCAAAACTATCATATGTTCATATATAATTTTTTTCGAGAGCGTGAAACAAATCAAGGTAAAGCTTTTGGGTAGCTTTTTACCATCTTTTTGAATGAATGTCTTGCATTCACTCTTAACATCAGATGCGCATGACCACAGCAAAAGATGCTTTACAAATCTAGTCTGTTATGCTTGCTTGCTCTTCCACATTTCATAATCACGATGGATGACTATGACAGAACTTCCAAAAAACTATCGATGATTTTAAATCTATTCGGTCGTCCTTAAGACAATCAACTTGAATGTCTATGTTGGATGTCTATGTGCGCAATGAATAACCTTAGTATTGAGCCAGTTACATTGAATAAAAACTAGAGAGGATGTTAGTGTTTGCTAGAAACTCTCAACTCACTAATAACTCATTGGGAGACCCTGGATCTAAATTAGTTTACCGTTGGGTTGAGTGATCTCCTCCCTTAGGAACTGTCCAACTCCACGTTTCTTCTCATCCGTATGCCTTATGATTTGATCCACAAGCCAACCATAAGTGTACGTGTGGTATCCGCTGGCAGTTCCTGGAGGAATCTTGGGAACCTCGTTTTCAATTATTTCTCTCATCAGGTTATGATCCCTTGCCATTTCTTCCGTGACCGGTGTGTCAAAGTAGTGAAGCCCTGCCTACAAACAATTTCTACAACCGTCAGAAAGGAAATTAATGAAGGCTCACCATGTGGGACATCACCCACTCTATAGTAATGTTCCCCTTTCCATTTTTAGCAAATCCCGGCCAATGCTTGGAAACAAGATCGCCGTATTTTAGTCTTCCACGATCTGCTAAAAGCGCTATGCAAAGGGCCGCTACTGCTTTTGTGGTAGAGAATACAACACTCATGGTATCCTGCATATGATTTATTTATAACACTAGTTCTCTTTCAAATAATGCTCACCTTTCTCCATTTCCTAGCAGCCTGTACATCGGCGTACCCACCCCATAAATCAACAACTTTTCGTCCTTTTACAAACACTGCCAATGAAGCCCCTTCCGCTTCCCATCCATCTTTGAAATTTTGCCTCAAATAAGCATTGTTTGATCCCGGTAAGAGTCCAGGCTTTAATCACTTACTCAAAAGCTTTTCGAACACCATCAAACTTGCTGTCAACTTCTCCATCAACATAAATAGGATGTTTCGTATAGAGCATATCCATACCATAACGAATCAATAGGGCCGAAACGCCAAGAAAAGCTGCGTATCGCAGCAAACCCATCTATGGTAAAAATATTATGTGCAGCAATTGAAAATCTATACACGAAAACTTTAGCAAGAATTTCTTCCTTTCCAGAAGCAAAATCAAAACATATGGAATAACATGAAACAAGTTAAGACCAGAGAAGGCTATAAGAAGTAGTCGAAGTAAATCAAAGGAAAGAAAGCGACTGAGAGAAAGCAAGAAAAGAAAACAGATTGGTACTAATACAATGTATCAAAGTGCAAAGCATATGTGTGCACATGCTTCTGCTTGTGCTTAACCTTGGGGGCACGCGGAAGGCGACAATCGGCGAAAAATGAAGGCTGTGTATCATCCGTCTCAATGACTTTCACGGATTTCTACTTATGGCATTGAGTAATGTATCTGCCCCCCCCCACCCTCGTAGTCTTCCGGGGTGTCACTTTGACACCGGAGAGTTTTTGATAGGCACAAAATTGGGTGTCGCCTTCCGCACCACACCCCTTAACCTTATCCCAAATGTTTCACCACTAAAAATGAGGGAACCAACTAGTTGTGATTTACGGAAAAATCAAATTGATTCAGGGAGCTCATTAGAGTTGTCATGCTCTTCTTGCTGCTCTATGACCAGTAGCGACCAGAGATTCTTAGTTTTAGTCGAAAATATCAAAAGCTGTTGTTTTTTTTTGCAATTACGATGAAATTTATAGAATTGTCTAGTGTGCATAAAGAGGGCACGCAACCTTCCTACGGCAAGAGTTTTTGCAATTTGTCTCACTTCAGTGTCAGTATTTACTCGTTTATCAGACTTGCATGTCGGTTAGAAAAATCTTGTCCGCCACAAGCTTTTTTCAGAGGTTCTTACCATGAGTTCGTTTTTAAAGGCGTAAATTTGACATGAAACGCCATAAATTTTTTGCTGTAAAAACTAGCCTTGTTTAGAAATGCAGTCTTGATGTGGGGCACGGGATTTTCTGACTATATTCGATTCTTAAATGTGAAAAGCAAATGCGCTATCAAAGTACGTTGTCGAAATAGGATTGATTCGCAGTAAGTATCTAAACTAGATCTTTGGCATTGTAATTGTGAAAAGGAGCAAAGTATGGAATACAAACAATTTTCGACATGAAGAAAAAATCTCTGACAATCAACAATTACCTATGGAAAACTGGTTTTGTACAACACAGTGTCTAGCACAAATCAGAATCTTGCTCAGCTGTTCAACAATCTCGATCAGGATCAAGAAATAGGGATATATGATAGAGGAAAACCATATAAGAGGATAAGAACAATCGATGCAGCTCATTATTTACGTGATCTGTTAGTTAAAGATTAATAGAACCGATATGAAGATAACAAACATCTTTAGAAGACATACTGAAATTTTTTTCAAAATGGAACATGTTAAGACATCAGCGATTAGGTGAAAAGAGAGAAAGAGGGAAGTTTTTTAATGTAAAGGAAAAAACACTGGCTCTATGCTCAACAAAAACAATCTCACGAAATATTACTGTGGTTGGATCGAAGTGAAAGGCATAAGCTTTGGAAGTCAAACCCGTCATTTATTTGAGGAAATAATCAAAGTAAGAGATTATCAATCAATTTGTTTGCATCAAAGTAGTGATAAGTACCCGTTTTGATGGGTACCAAGTGATTAGGGGTAGACGAGGTTGTGGAATATAGTTTATTCGCACTGGCGTAGATTAGTCGTAAAGAAGAGTGAGGTGTCCCGGTGTGGACCGGTGAGCAACCTCTAATACAATCGGAGGCTCCTTATATAGGAAGGAAGGCGGAGCTGAACCGAGTAAAAGGTACAATGTACACGAATTGGTGCTTGAAAGAAGGTGCCGCCGATTGGCTACACTCCTGGCGCACAGGTACCACTCACCCTTGAGTGATTAGATACTCAAGAGTGAGTAGCTCACAATTTAGCCTACGGGTATTCCGTAGGCTGTCTAGAATATAGAGTTCATCAATGGTTGATGATACAGAAATCATCAACACTCCGGGCGAGCGAGAGGAAAGTGAGATCTGGTAAGATCCTAATTAGAGTGGCAGATACATGTGAAGTTGACTAGCGAATAAGTTAATACCTACGCATACAGAAAAATGAGCTATGAAGAAGGATTTGCAAGTAACTTGAACATACACACAAGAGTACAATTATTAACGTAAATTTATAAAAGCATCTGAAGTGATCGCTGGAGCTGGTGGGCGGTTTGGCGCTGCTTGTCGTCCTCGCCATTTCCTCCTCTTCCACTTTGAATCGGTAGTTGCTTCGTTGACGACCATATCCTTGATAGACGGCGTTCTTACACGATGTATGTACTCATGATGTCTTCTCTCCGGTGTGTTCGTCATCCTTCTCTTGGCTTCATTGTTTGTGAACCGCTGCGGTAGCCATTCTATCCCATATCGGGGGCGGACATTGGAGTTCGTCGTGGAACGTATTGTGGCCAACCAACGTTGTCTGTCTGCTCGAGCTTCAGCGAGGATGGAAGCATTGACTGTTAACCTTGTAAAGGTGGATTGTCGGCTTTTGGATGAAGAACATGGTTGTAGCATTGCTCGTGACGGAATCTTCACCTTTGGATTGTTCCTTCATTTTGCTTTGGCAATAATGGCTTGTTGCATGTTCGAGTGTTCGCACTGTTGAAATGAGAGTACGCTTTGGGTTTCTTCAATCTCTCGTTGTGTTGTGGAGTTGGGCGGTTGTTCCTCAGTGTTTTCTTTAGCGCTGATATGCAGCCGAATGTGCCGATGAATCTTGATGTGGTGATAGTGCAGCTCGTCCCTGATATAACGAATCCGAAGATGGTTGGGGTCAGAATGAGCCCTGAAGGAAGCTTGCGCACTCTGTCGTTGTGGATAGTGACGAGATTTAGGAGATCTTGTCCTATGATCATGTCGGGTGAAACGCTTTTGCAGGAGAGCGTATCTTGAGCGATTATCAGCTTTTCATCAGAGATAAAACGCAAGTCTGCTTCCGTGAGACTTACTGTCTGCATGTCGGTAGTCAGCTTCTGCTTAGTGTGTACTGACAAGTTCTTCAGCTTTTCGGAGCTGTGAAGACTTTTCAAGGTGATTTGTACTTCAGGTGAGTTGAATTGCTCTTGTTGCTCGCCCATCCCAGATGTAGTAAACGAAGTAGTACGAAGGATTGGAAGCTTGAGTTCTTCACAAAGTCCTGATTTGATGAAACTTCGTTGTGCACCGGAGTCAAGTAGTACCGTTATTGGCTGGTAATCCCACTCTGCCTCGTTGAATATGGTTGCAGAAACAATTTGAAGAATGCATTGATCCTGTGCAAGTGGAAGCACTTCGGGATTGTAGACTTCTTGTCGTGAGCCTTGTACGACGTGCGTAGTACTCTTCTCATGACGATCCTGACTGATGTCACGGGATGACCAAGGAGCAGGTGAATGTTGATCAAGTGCAGGATCTCGGTATTGTGTCGAGAATCCTCTGCGTTTTTCTGCTTCTGACAAACAAAGAGATCCATGGTGTGATCCTTTGCATTTGGGGCACACGCCAAAATTCGTGCAAGCGTTAGAGTTGTGATCGCTTGCAAAACATCTCCAACACACTCCTTGATTTGCTGCTTCAAGTCGTCGGGCTTCTGGTGTGGTGTACCTCTGACAGGTGTGAGGAGAACTCAGACAATAACGCGGACGAGCGGCGGGCCTTAACGGCTTTCCGGGCGAGCGGCGGGCTTTGATTTGTGGGCGTGGCTTTCTTGCGGACGAGCGGCGTACCCTCACTACCGAGCGTGCGAGCGGCGGACCTTGATTTGACCAGCGGCGACCCATCCCCTCAAGCGGGTGGGCGGCGTGCCATCAACACGTTAGACTAACTTGGAAGTGTTTATCCTTTCAGCTTGCTTTTGCATCATTTCTATGTGCGAGTCATTCTCATTTAGTGTTATTGCGGCTCAAGGGCAGTCAACTATCAGTGGCCCTCAAGAATAAGCAGGTCAGTGTTTCTGCTCCGCATACTCAGGGATTTGCGTCCTGCGAGGGGTTCTCCTGCCTCAGACACTGGGAGAGCGCAAGCCGCGGCTTTAGAAGGTTTTTCCGGGTCTCCAGCGGCTTCAATTGGGGGCGTGGCTGGGGTGCGGCCGAACCGCGGCCTTTTCTTTCATTATCATTGCACCGGCCGAGTCCCGGTGAAACACCGCGGAAAAATGGGCTCACCGGCTCAGCCGCTTCCCTTAATGAAGGGCGAACATTGCAGCGGCTGAGCCGCGAAGAATCTGTGAATGGAGTGAAGGCCGCGGCTCGACCGCCCCTAGTGTCTGAGCGTAAAGGATACTTGCCTGATGTACCTCGCATGGTCAGTGGTCAGGCTGCCTTAGATGTCCATAAAGTTAGATGTCTTTCCAGTCTCCTAGCAGGAACAGGATCAATATGTTGTCTTGTGAACAAGCTTGGACAGCATCTTGTCGTTATTCAATTTTGAATCGGACTTGAAAATTAAAGCCGCTATATCAGTGACTTTATTTTTATTTTTTTCTACTGTGCATTTTAATATGTGCCGTGGTGGCCCGAGGCCCAATTAGACCGAGCTGGAATGGACTACGGACGGCCCGTCAACCAGCTAGCCGAGTCCCACCTGCGGCCGAGCCGAGGCTCATTCTCCGGTCTTAGCTGTTAAACACGCGCTTCTGTGTTCCATATGTCCAAGTACATAAACGATAAGCGAAAAAGAGCTTTCTTTTTGTATAATATCAAAATCATACCTTCAGTTTTGAAATTCAATGCTACAGTAAGCATGATTCAAACACTGTTCCTAGTAATATTGCTTTGACCTGCGCTGACTCATTGGAATTTTTATAAAATTGCAGATAATTCGTGAGAAACTCCAATTTTCTGACGGCGTGCACCATTTCACCTTGTTTTGACCTCAATTTTGCAAGTAACTTTGTGACGGTCGCTCAACCTTGTAGCATAATGTTCGAAATTAGACCACGAAGCGTTCGAGCCTACGGAGGTACTTCTAAAGATAATTGACGCCTTTGTGATGTATTATCGTCACACCTT